TCTTCCTGATCCTCACCCCGATCCTGTGCTTCATCCCAATCCTTCTCCTCATCCTGATCCTGCTCCTCATTCTGATCCTGTTCTTCATCCCAATCCTCCTCATCCTAATCTTGCTCCTCATCCCAATCCTCATCCTGATCCTGTTCCTCATTCTGATCCTGTTCCTCATCTTCATCCTCATCCTCATCCTGATCCTGTTCTTCATCCGATCCCATTTCTCATCCTCATCCTAATCCTCGTCTTCATCCTGTTCCTCATCTTCATCCTCATCCTCATCCTGATCCTGTTCTTCATCCGATCCCATTTCTCATCCTCATCCTCATTCTGTTCATCCTTCATCCGATCCCATTTCTCATCCTCATTCTGTTCATCTTCAGCCTGATCCTGTTCCTCTTCTCGACCCTGATCCCTATCTATCCTGTTTCTGTTCCGTGTGCTGGATTGGGGATGAAGCTTTGGGGGTTTTTGTTTGCCGTCGGCCCCGTTTGTCCCCTACGGTTGGTGAAAGGCTCCTGAGAGGCACAGTGGGGTCTGTGTGGGCTGTTCTCCCCCCAGAGCTGAGTTGTTAGTGTGGGATGAGTTCTTGGAATTTCACCCGTTGCTGAGGGTTCAGAGTCTCAGGTACTGAGGCAGCCACAGGGTCAGTTTCACAGGGTTAATGTGGCACTGAGGACATTAATTTGGCTGTGAGGCCTTGATACTTTGGCCTTACTGCACTGTTCTTACTCAAACCCCTCTCCAGTTTCAGAGGTTCCCACCTCCTCGCGCACTCTGGCCCTCCGTACTCTCCAGCCATCACTCTTGTCCAGCTGGTGGATTCCCATTTAACCTGGACTTTAAGAGACTCCAAAGCCCATCCCTGGCTGCTCCGTGCCCGCGTGGGCACTGCCTTGCCTCGCTCACCTGCTCACACCCTGCACACCTCCACCTGCCCACAGCAGCAGCTCCGGGATGAATCTCCACCTGGTGGAAGTGCTGTGAACCAGGGAACTAAACCTGCTAAAGCGCCAACAAAACAGGTCGTGGAGGCTCCCACGGGAAAAAAGTCTTTGCGCCAAAAAGTTGTGGATGAGCTGAAGCATTACTACAACGGATTCCACCTGCTCTGGATTGACACCAAGGTGGCTGCCAGGATGGTGTGGAGGCTGCTCCACGGGCAGGTGCTCACCAGGAGGGAGAGGCGAAGGGTAAGTGCTGGAACACCTGGAAAAATGATGCAGTTAAGAGGCTTAACCGCTTCTGTGGAAAACATTTTGGGTGTCTGGCTGAAGGATAATCTCTGCTGTGCTCCTCTCTGTACAGCTGCTGAGAACTTGTGCAGATCTCTTCCGGCTGGTTCCCTTCCTGGTCTTTGTCATTGTTCCCTTCATGGAATTCCTGTTACCTGTATTCCTGAAGCTCTTCCCTGAAATGCTGCCCTCAACATTTGAGACGGAGTCAAAAAAGGTTTGTGCCCCTCTGAGGGTGTAGAGCTCCTCAGAACATCTGTGCAGGTGCACAGAGCTGCTGTTCCCTGCTTGCTGCTGGGAGTGAGGGTCAGCCTCACCCACACGTCTGGGTCAGACATTCCCAGCTTATTCCTGAGCTGAACAGCAGAGTTTTTCCCTGAAATGCTGCCCTCAACATTTGAGACGGAGTCAAAAAAGGTTTGTGCCCCTCTGAGGGTGTAGAGCTCCTCAGAACATCTGTGCAGGTGCACAGAGCTGCTGTTCCCTGCTTGCTGCTGGGAGTGAGGGTCAGCCTCACCCACACGTCTGGGTCAGACATTCCCAGCTTATTCCTGAGCTGAACAGCAGAGTTTGAAGCTTGTAAACAGTGATTGAACATGCACAGCAATTCCATCTCCTGCAGTAACCAAGGCCTAGTGCTTTCAGAGCTGAAGTCTTATTTCCTGTCTTTCCCAGAATTCCCTCCCTCCTGATTTCCAAGTGGGATTTCTAATTCCATTTTATTTCCCCAACAAAGGAAGAGAAGCAGAAGAAGAAGTTAAATGCAAAGCTGGAATTAGCAAAGTTTCTGCGGGAGACCATCGCAGAGATGGCCAAAAGGAACAAGGCAGACACGGGGCAAGGGAAACAATTCTCCTCTTACGTGCACCAGGTAGGACAGGCCATGCTGGGGGTGGCAGTGATGGCACTCACACACCTTTGGGCAGAGAACACAGGGTTGGTACAGGATTGTGGAGAGGTCTGACCACACAGAGCTGCCCTGTCGGGGCTGTTCCCTGGGTGCCTCCTGCAGGTAATCCCTGCTGACCCCACTGACAGGAATTCTTGCCGTGGAACAGTGGAAGTTTCACCCTGTGAAACCCTTCCAGTGGACACTCAAGAACAGTTTCACTTTATCATCCTGCTTCCATCAGAGACAGGAATTCCAGTGTGAGAAGTGGGAAGGGGGGAAAGAGGATTCCCAGATGGTGACCCTGCTGATGTGTGTTTGCCTTTTGGCCTTTGTTAGATCCGTCACAGCGGCCACCGGCCCAGCACGCAGGAGATCGTCCGCTTCTCCAAGCTCTTTGAGGATGAGCTGACCCTGGAACACCTGGAGCGGCAGCAGTTGGTGGCTCTCTGCAAACTGCTGGAGCTGCAGCCCATCGGCACCAACAACCTGCTCCGCTTCCAGCTGCTGCTCAGGCTCAGGACCATCAAGGCAGATGATGAAGTGAGTCTGAAACAGCGCAGAAGAACTGCTTTGGTGGAGTGTGTGCTTGCAGGCTCTGCCCTCTGAACCACTGCCTGCTGCACTTGAGGCTGTGTCCCTACCCACACACCATCCTCAGGGTGAAGTTTAGCATTTATAGGAGTTGGGATGCTCTCCATGAGAGCTCCCAGAAGAAAACAGAAGCCATCTCCCTGCACGTTGCAGTCTTTGGGGAGCCCTGACAAGGGTGACACTACAGATAGTGTCACTGTTTAGAACATTGCATTCTGGAGTCATGCTATCTTATAAAAAAAACAGAGGTTCCAGCTCTGGAATGAATATTGTGTGGAAACAGCAGATTTTAAGCAACTGGATTCACTAGGAGTTTATGTTAGTGTATAAGCATCCAGATTTATTTAGCCTGGAGAACGCCAAGAGAGAATCTCCTTGTGGTTTTCAGCTGCATAATGGGGTTATTTGAAAATGGATCCAGACTTAGGGGTGCAGAGTGGAGGGATGACAGGTAATGGCCATAAGCTGCAGCAAGAGGAATTACAACTTGAGGAGAAAAAGAACTAAAACCAGTGAGTGGGTAAACAAAGGAACAGTTGTCTGGAGGTTGTGAAATCCCCATCCCTAGAGGGGCTCACAGCACAAATGGAGGCTGGACTGGGGACCTCCAGAAGTCACTGCAGGTACATCAGGGGCTTGGCTTACTCTGTGCCTGGATAGGAACATTCCCATTCGTTGCAGATGATTGCCAAGGAAGGGGTCGGCGTCCTGAGCGTGTCGGAGCTGCAGAGCGCGTGCAGGGCCAGGGGGATGCGGTCGCTGGGGCTCTCGGAGGAGCAGCTGAAGGAGCAGCTCGGGCAGGTGAGTATGCCCCGGCCTGGGCTGGTGGGACAAGTTCCTCTGAGGACAGAAACACAAGTTTCAGATGGATCCTCACCTGCAGAGCTGAGCACTAAGCTGTAGGTAATTCAACAGCTTTCACCTTTGGCTGTTTGTCAGTGGTGATGTTGGTACCTCCCCAGTGCTGGAAA